GCCTTCGGTGGGGCTGTATTCAAGGAGGGTGGGGCAGCCGAGGCTGCTCGCCCCATGGGGGCTTCTGGCGTTTGCCTCGGCACGCTGGGCGTGGTCCAAGGCATTGCCGAAAACCGAAGTGGTGCTGACCCCCCTCGCACCACTTCGGCGTACGATGTGTTGCCAGAAAAATGCGGGGAAACGCGCTGCCGCGCTTCACGGAAGCTTATGTTCAATTGAACTTTGTACTAATAATTTCTTTTTCCATTTTCCAGGCCACGCATGACCTGGAATATGCAGGATGGTCACCCTCACAGTTTGCACAGTGCACTTGTAGCTGACAGTCATCGTCAGCGGTATGACCTTTGGTGCCGCATTTTGCGCAGGTAATCTGTCCTCGGCAGCTCTGGGAGCCGTGCCCGAACCTCTGACACTTAAAGCAGCGCCTCGGGTTGGGTATGTATGGTCTAACTGGCAGTTTAAGATATCCTGTTGCTATTTCAGTTGGGAGGGTGCTAGATGCGAAAGTGAGTATGATGTGCTTCGTTGGGATTTCCTTATTTTCTCTTCTTATTTTGATACGCTGCACCTGAATGACATTTTCCTCTTTTCAGCCTGTTAGAAGTTCATCATCAGAGAGGTCCATCAGGTCTCCATCTGATACAACACCCTTCACTGTGTTCATGGTTCGATGTGGTGTGATTGTGATAGGCTGATCCCCAAATGCTGTGAGTTTATGTAGTCTCTGGTACTGTGCGTTGTCTTTTACTTCAAGTAACAGGTCACCACTGGCGGTCTTTGTGGCCTTGTAGCCTGCGCCCAGCGTTTCTATAAGGCATTTCGATACAAGGAAAGGTGAAATGTTTCTAGCTTTTTTTTCTGTATTTTCACAATGGATAATGTGGTATTTTGGGAAGTTGTCTTTTTTGTTCGGGAGAAATTCAAGAATTACATCGGTGCGCCACCTCTTAGAGGGGCGATTAGTTGTGACAGGGCTAGGGGTTCCCATAAATTTGATAGCTTTTTTCGGCGGCCATGCCAGCCACCCACCACCGAGCCCAACAAGGGGACGCTGCGAGACGCGAAGGAGGCGCAGGCGCCAGCTGTACATGGCCGCTATAACCTAATATATCTACCCAAGATTGGATATTTACACTAGGTTAACCCTTGCCGCCAAGAAAAATTGGAAGTAAAATGAAGTGAGGAGAAGACAGGAAAGATGTAAAGTGAGAACAAAAGACGAAGATGTAGGGAGAGAGAGATAGGAAAAGGCGACTGCCGATTTCCCCTGGGTGGGTCAGCCCAGGGGTGCCGTCTACGTGATGCCGGGGCCTAAGGGGTGTGTTGCCTCTGCCGGGGGGCCTTCAAGGTCCAATCACCCAGCGTCAGCTCAACCCCCAGGATCCCCTTTTCCCCGGACACGGCAAAGCCACGCACGGCTAGGCGTGGGAGGGAGTCGAAACTCCCCCGTTAGCTCGGGTCCGTGGTGTCGCTACACACCAAACGCCTACTTGCGCAGGCGCCCCTGCGGGGAAGCCCTACTTTAAAGGGACACTAAAGTCAAATAACAATTTACGTCAGAGTGATATGTGAGGTTTAACGTCCCAAAACCACTATATGATTATGAGAGACGCCGTAGTGGAGGGCTCCGGAAATTTAGATTACCTGGGGTTCTTTAACGTGCACCCAAATCTGAGCACACAGGCCTGCAACATTTCCGCCTCCATCGGAAATGCAGCCGCCGCAGCCGGGATTCGAACCCGCGCCCTGCGGGTTTTACGTCAGAGTGAAAGCTCAATGTATGACAACATCTAAAACGACAATATTATCAATAACAGTGCCTTACTTCCCGAGAAATCAAGGTAAATGCACAAGAACGCATACGCCGCAGTAGGACATTCTCAGAATGATCCCGATGACATCAGACGGACCGCCTACAATTAATCACTAGTAATAGATCTAGCTGCACTAAATAAAGAACCTTCCGTGCATCAAGAGGCGCAATAAAATGCTGCATGTTCGTTTCTGTTTGATTCATGGAAAAAAGAACCGCCAGACGTTACTATGGGGAATGGCGCAAGTGGTTCAAAAATTCAATTTTCGCGCAGTTACACTGGGCAGGTGGTGCCATCTAGCGGGGCCCAGTTGAACCAAAAAACGTCTGCAATCTTGGAGCCAATGGCGGGAAATTAATCAATGGCCATTGTTGCTGCTTTGGCTCCCGCCACTTTGGGTCTGCTGTCACTAGCCCGGTAAAGTCGGAAAACTTTGTGCATGGCAACAGTGACATGAGACGGTCCAGTCAGTCCGCTTCTTGAAGCGGTTAAATTGAAGTGCGCAAACTTGATGCGAACCACTAAAATGAGATTTTATTTCAAAACAGGTCCTTCCTTGGCACACAAGTAATACTACGAGGTTTCTGGAGTACTATTTGAACAATCACCGCTGACTTAATATTTGCCTTTAGTGTCCCTTTGAAACGGTACTGACAAAATTTCGCAGCCAAGATAGCCTGCAGAATCAATTCCCGAAAACATGCGTATTTCACCTGCAGAATATCAACAATGAATATAGCTTGGAAGGTACTTTAAATTAATTTTGAAGTTTACACGAATGACCAGCTTCATCGTGTTATTGGGACCCCCTACTTCACTCAAGTGACAACGCTGCAGCAAGTTATGGCATCAGCTGTCATTATTCTTTGGCCGTGTTTGCTCTAGCAGACTACTTACTGTATTTACTCACATAATTTGCGCACTTTTTTTCGCGGTTTTCGGGCTCCGAGAAGGGGGTGCTGCAAATTACGAAGAGATTTCACGAATGCATATGAAATATTGTGCGATAGTCCTAACATGTGCAGTATACAATAAAAACATATATAAATTGAATCACAAGCAAAGTGTACTTGCTAATTTAACAGAATTAGCATGATCTTTAACTAGTCAGATCCAGTCACACTCGGTCTAATTGGAATCATGGCCGAGAGGTCCAATTGATAATCATCGTAGCGGCCACTGTCACCGCCCTCCCGAAGCGCATCGTCCTCGGTTCCACGGAGTGCGTTCAAATGCCCCATTTTCTTGACGCTCTTCTCGACAATTCTGGGAGAAACAAGGTCATACAACACGACAATATCGGAGGACCTAAGCGTTCGCACATGAATGAAAAGGTCTTGAAAAGCAGAAAACAAGAGCGCACTCTTCTGCTTTTTTCCTATTGATCGCGCCGATCATCACATCTTGAAGAACATCACGCTGAAGTGCTTGGCGGCAGCACGGTTCCCGTTTTCTTAGGCAAACTTTATAAAAGAGAGCTTGAATTTTGCAAAATATATAATATTGTAACCCATTACAGGGAAATAGTAAAAATGCAGTGGAAGAATGGCGTAACCTAAACTTCAAAAATCAATCACACGTGCGTTGCGGCACGAATGCGTTGATGAGACAGGCCTTCGTATGCCTTCGATGCAGAAATTTGTCCATGCTGTGATGCGAGCGTGCATTCGCACGGTGGTAGAGATGGGGAGATAGAGAGAGGCAAACGCTCAAGCAGTTCCGGTGACTCGTTAATAGGTTTGAGATTTCAGGCGGGTCTGGTAATCTAAGGACCCTAGTTCATGGGAAGTCCTCGAAGGGACTTCGCACTCCCAGCTCGTTAGACTGCATTTGCCTGCTCGAAGAGGTGCATGCGTGCGCTGGCTCGAGCGGGTTGGGGAACGCAAAATATGCGAGTGAATACTTTACTTTCAAGTAAAGCTGGCTAAATATTAGGGGAGTTTGAATTATGCAAAGGCCCAAATTACGCGAGTAAATAAGGTATTACTCGGCAGCTGCTCTCCGGCCTCAGCAAACGAGTTGAAAGTTTTGTGTTTGATGACATTGCTGTCCCATTTCCTCTCCAAAAAAAAAGCTTCTGTGCGCTGACATGATCGAACATTGCAACCACTAGGTGGCGATTGTTTCAGGCTGCGGCTTGTAGTTTTTGAAACGGAAACTGGTCAGTAATAACGAGACTATAATTAATTATCTGTCACACTCTATAGAAAACGATGTGTTGTGTTATGACTAAAAGGCCCCCAGAAACACACTGCAGAAAAAAACAACCAAAATGTTTGTGTTAGTACCCTTTTAAGGTTAAAGGAACCCATTACGCCAACAATACTTTTTCCTTCCTTAAATTTAAAAGTTTGCTCTGCCAGCTTATATGCCTTATATTGATCATTTCAATTCTTAAATGCACTCTAGAAATGCATTCTCACTTGCACTCTAGAAAGTGAAATTCTGCCATTATTCACAGTTGCTTCCACCTCATTTTAATTCCCCCCTCCAAAAAAAAAAAAAATCTATATTAGCACATGACTTCTTTCAACTAAATGAAAATGCGCATGTTAGTTGGGTTATGACAAATATGCCCATTTTTCTTTATAATATACATCACACATTATTCAAGCTGAAATTATTCAAGCTAAATCACTTTCTAACGGTTGAACCTAAATTTAAAATTGACAAAAGCCCAGTTTTGAGCCTAATTGACTTTTATACAGAAATTAAAAATGACTAATTACAATTACATTTAATTGCACTAATTAACATTGATTATCAAAAGTGGCACCAAAAGTATTGCCTCATTTTCTTTCAACATCGACACATTTTTAGACAGTTCGTCATACACTCGAACCTCTTTATAACGAAGTAACATATTACACAAAAACAAGTTTGCTATATCTATTATATTTATTGTTATATTTGTTATAAAGGTCTACTCCTAACACTATATTGCAAGACTATTCTTCATTTACTTTGTTATGACCGATACTTCATTATATCTGGCTCCATTATATCGAGGATTGAGTATTTTGAGCTTGAATCGTACAAGGTAGAGGCTACTCGTGACGACGATGACAGTTTTCTGGCCCAAAAAACCCACCGGAAGGAGAGCTTAAACAGCTCAACTGTTAAAAGGGATGCTTATAATCCACAGCTAAGCCCTCCACAACGTGGAAACCACGCACAAAACCTTACCAGGTCCTTCTTACGCTCCATGGCTGCGATGACCTCGCCCATTTCTTTAGCCTTGGCCTGCAGCTCTTCGACGGAGGCCTTGGACTGCTGGACAGTTGCCTGCGTTTTCTCCAGCTTCTCCTTCGAGTTACGACTTAGCTCCTGCACGTGAGGAAGCGGAACAAGCATTGTGGACACGCTAACAGGACGGTGCCACGTGAACTTGCGCGATGATGCCAAGAGATTAAAATTTTCTCTATCGCTTCTCTCAGGTTGTTTCGCCTACTGCTGTGAAGGAATTTAAAAACTAGACCAACAACAGGAACTTGTTTGAATACCTATGGCAAAGCTTGCCTACGGTAAAATACGGGCTGATAAGAAAATTCGTACGAGGTACCCTGCTTATAAGAGACGTCTCGTATAAAAGCCAAGAATGGCTGCCCAGAGCGTGCCTCTCATAAAGGGGTTCAAACTCGTAAGAATTATTAGTTTATAACAACGGATTTTTCGTCGCACTTCGGACATTGTTATAACTGGGTTCAACAACGTAGGTTACGCAAGCCAGGCCCTTTCCAATGTCTTTATCTTTAACACATAATTATTATCCACCAGCCCTGTTTGTGGCTTTGCTACAAGCTTTACCGGCCATACATAATTAGTGAGCTTCATGCAGACGGTAACTATGGCCATTCACAAGATATTGTGAACTAGGAATGCGATTCACGTGCAAGTAAGTACAATACACATGCTGCTAATATGAATTCTCGTTAAGGGGAGACGCTACTTGAAAAAGGTTTTTATTTTTATTTGCAGAAGAGCAAATAATAACAGACACAGAGCCAAGGGTGTCAGAATGTTACATAATTTGCAGTAAACACTGACCTCGGTCTGGACGTACTGCCATGCGACGTACAACTTTGTCAGGTGGTCCAACTCTCTCGACACCTTGGTGTAGTCCAGGTAAGCCTGCCTCTCCTCCTTCAGCTTGTTCAAGGTAGGCGTAATCTCTTCGTTCAGTACCTGAAGTGCCATCAAGAATATTACGAGGATATTGTGCAAATTACGTGCATGACGTAGTGCGAAACTTTGAATACGCATTGAAAATCCCTTAGCACAAGTCGGCAAGCTTTTTGCTTTTATAATCTATTAGTTCTTGTGTTGCGAAATTCAGCCATATCAAATCCCTTCTAGCCAGTTCCTACTGGCCTGAAGTAGTGCTATAGCCTCTGAAAGTGGCTCAGAATGTGAGCACAGGGAAATTCAATGACATGGTACCGCCCATAATGAGTGCAGGCGTGTTAAACAATATATATAATCATCAGAAAGAACAATTGGGCGAGTTGGTAACGTGCATCTTAAACGAATAATAGCGCGACAAAAACAGGGACAGGAAGGAAATGACAAACTACATCGCTGCAGTTTGTCATTTCTTTCTCGTCCCTGTTTTTGTCGCACAATTATTTCTTTAAGATATAGGATATCAACAATTAATTATTAGCGCACAAGGCTATAACAACTTCACAGCAAAGAGTAATACTACTGAAACAGTGCCCATAAATAGGGAAAAAATATCTGACTGTTTGAAATTTCTTGCCAATAAAGAGCAGCGGATGCTTTGCTGATTGGCAAGGTTGGCTAAGGCAAGCGTTAGTTTCATTGATCAAACAAAGGAATAATGAGGATAGCGGGACAGGACCTAGCAAGCAAGGAGTGTCTTGGATTCAAGAAGGCTCAATAGTCGTTTTTTGACCCAGTAATAAATAAAGCAGGTACACTCAATTTAATCCCTCTCAACAATTTTACACATCTCTAAAAATTTGCACTTTGGTTCTCCCCCGCCTCTAAACATTTGCATGTTATGTGCATATTTTGTAAACTTTGCAGAAAAAAAGACAATGAAAAAAAAAAAGAAAGGTGGCTCTTAGAATGCAGTAAATATGGTAGCAGTTAAGACTATCTTCCTGTCTGTCATGACTGCCCCGAGTCTGGTGTTATCCAAACTGAACTGTAAATGATAGCAATGTCACAATACGCTGGCCACAGTAAAATTTCTTAATATTGCTGTGGGAAACGTGCGCAAGTGTGCAATGCTGGCACTGAACATCGCGGTGCTAAGGCCAAAGGTATTTAGTATAAATACGAGCCACCTTTCGCGTGACGCACGGCTAAGCATATACGGATAGGCCCAGACGCGGTGCACCCTGCATACGATGCGGAAGCAGTTTCTCCATGGTAATTTTCATGCATGTGCACTCTTTAACCAGTACAGTATTACCGTACTTTGCTTGCAGTAAACTGGCACTGCTAGCTAAAGCAGTACCATAGAGACACAGGGCAGTTGTTAGGTGCGAGTGTTCCACGACTGTCAAGGTAACTACATAGGAAATCGTTTGCAGCCCACAACGCGACACCACTAGCCACTCATTGCACGCACGATTACAACGAAGCGATATTCGCACCCTGAGCCGACAAAGGGCTGGTCAAATGCGTACAAATGTTGCCTTGCAGATAGCAGGTGATGAAGCGGCGCCTCTATTCAGTCCTTTCTGCTTTGTTGAAAATGACACCCCGCACCCAATGTTGCAAATGATTCTGGAAAGTGAGGTGGGAAGTGTTGGGGCAATTAAAATTAATTTTAACGAATCTATCTCTCCAGCCTGTAATTTGGCCTGATGGGAGCGTAAAAAGTAACGTAGCTGGCAAACTTGATCGAGATTTAATGACCTTAAAAAATTATCGCCGGAGTTGACCTTTAAGGGGGCCTTGCAACACTTTTTTGGGCATGGTCAGAAAACGCTGCTGATCGGTAGTAGAGGCTCCTAACAACACGCGACCCAAATATTATAGCGCAGCACACGGCCTGGAATTCACAATAAATTATCAAAGTCAACTAAAAATAGCTTTGTCTTTTCTCGACAAATCACGGAAAATAATCCCAGTACGACCATCTATCAGCCATTGGCTGATTTGAACATGGCGCGCTCGGTTGTTACAGAGGTCGCCACGAGAGGCCGTCACTTGTCCACGCGTGCGCACGCGATTGCACTGAAAAGTCTACGTATTCAAAGAAAAAAAAAAGAAAAAAAATTAAAGGTCACGAGGCGCGAGTGATATTTTTTGTTTGCCCCTCCCATCCTTCCCTGCTCAGCTTCCAGAGCTTTCGTCGGGACGAGAGAATGTGACAGCAGCGTGTGACAAAAAAATTAACTCCGCTCGTACTGAACGGATTCTTGAAATTTTTGCGGCATTCAATTTGTGAGGTAATACATTTTTCCAGTAAACTAATTCCATGGTTACTCAAAAAAGTGATTCAGGGCCCCTTTAGGGACTCATTAAAGGGCTCTACTGTATTATGAAGGCAGGCCTTACGCTGTCCAGTTCAGCCAGCTTGGCTTCCTTCTTCTCAATGGTGCGCTGCGCTACTTGCTTCTTGCTCTCGTACATACGCGTGCCAGCTGCTTCCTCGATCATGGCCAAGATCTGCGATGGAAGGTGTAGTAATATTATGCACTTTCTTCAAACGACTACAAGTCGACCAGTAAGTTCTGCAGAAATGAGCAGGCTCCACGCTTTGCGAAATGAAACGGGTCCTCCAAGAAAGAAAAAAAAAAAAAACAGTCGAAAATCTTCAAGGAAACCCCATATGTTCGACAGTAGTTTGATGGTTGCACAGAACAGACTATACTTAGTTACAACCGAAGAAATAAAAAAATATGGCTGCAACTTAGCTCGGTGAGGCCCGGTTATGCTAGCGAAAAGCTTGCTCCCTCGTTTGTGCTAGTTCCCCCTCATAGCTGAAGCACAGTTTGCCAAAAGAACAATACGGCTAGTTGAACGCTTCATACAGCGTGCACCCACCACAGTCGTTTCGTCAGTTTCTGAAGAATTGATGGTTTGTCGTTGCTACAGAAAACATCCGAGTTTGGTTGAGCAGTGATGTCAGAATCTCCGAAAAAATATATCGGGACGTTGAAGTTTCTGTCCTTAAACCAGCAACACAAATGTGGCTCTGTACCGAGAAAGCATCCAAGCACCATCGGGAGGAACACATGTGCTAATTATCTGTGAAACAGGAGATGCAGACTTCTTTTTCCCCTTCTTTCTTAGCTTATAACTTAGCTTGTAATAGACTATAACGGCAAGCGAGTAGTGGTGCGCCCCGCTTGATCGTGCAGGCACGATTTACCACGGTCCCAAGAAATATTGCGCCCACATGACAGTCTTAATAAACAAACCTCGGGTGGCTTCATGTTGAGCACCTTGGTGATGCGACCCTGCATGATGAGGAAGTGAGGGTTGTTGACGTTCAGCTGCACCGACCCAAACAGGTCCTGCACTCGGTTACTGGTCGCCGTCACACCATTGATGAGGTATTTGTTTCTGCCGCCTACGACCACCTGCATACAATAAAGAGTTAGAGCAAAATCGGAGGGGTACAGGAACATTAGAGGGGCCAACTTACAGGCCAGCTTGAATTAGACTCGAGTACGACATTGGCCACTGATGATATTCCATGCTTGAACAAAGGTGAGATGAGCTATTGTGCCACACAAGAAATTGTCGCAAGCTTGACTCGAAAAACAACAACTATTAAATGGAGTTTGGAACCAGTTCATAACACACACACACACACACACACACACACACACACACACACACACACACACACACACACACAAAAAAAGAGCTTCGATGCTTAATGTTTGAATTGAAGAGTGGAACACAATGTAATCGAGCCCTATTTGCATTCCCTTCTCAGTTGTCTGCCGTGCTTCATTTCCCGGTGCGAATTAGCCAAGTACCTACTATGCACTCATAGGGTTATGTGCACATCTATGCAGCTGCACATTTGGTTTATGCTGTGCCCGATGATAATCGATTATGCCTGAGCACTTTGTAATAGGTGGGCCTTTTAAATTACCCCCTCACTGCCCATTTCACAAGGTGTGAAACCTGGCGAGATTCTGCACTTTTTCCATGCAATGTTACACGTGTGGAAGCAAGTCTTTGTACTTGCGACACTTAGATAAAGTCTTTTTTCGGAACATATCACTTCACTGTAATCATTTGAACCCACAAAGGCAAGAAGAAAGAAAGCCAAGACACACATTGACAAGCTGCATTAAAGAAATGACATTTAGCATGGGTAAATGACGCCACTGCATTAATTATTAAATAATCGGGTTCTCCCAAGTAGCAGACTTTTATGTTGTACACAAGTGCCTTGCACAACACCGTGTGCAAAATCTGTTCACACCACAGTACAGCTTAGAAACACACCTGTAAGCTTCGTGCCTCGACAACAATGCGCAATTACTTCTTTGTGTTTTCCTTTTCGTAACTAAAAACAATTTCAAAAGCAGCAACTGCTCTTTGAAGGCAAATCACATTTCTGCGAGTTGCCAAAAATAATGATTCGACAAAAGCTCCAATGTAAGAGCGGGCAATATCTTGCAAAATCTAAATATCGAGTGCACTTTTGTAACACCGATGCAAAGGACACGGTCTAGTTCCAAGCGGCGCACGTATGATGCACGTCGTTGATGACATCACAACAAATTATCGACCAATCAGGACCTCATGTAGTAACAAAAAGAAGAAAAAAAAGGCGGTCAAGAAGCACAGAAAGTTTCAAAATGGCAATGGATTTTTTTATGCCACTTAATACACAAGAGAACCGCTAAACTGCAGAATGTGTTCCAATACTTCACTGCAACATATTCATGTAAATGCTAGTGAGGAAATACATGCTTCTCGATCCTGCTTCAATGAGAATAATGGATTATGAAAGCAGTGCTGCAGAGTTCAAAAAGGCCTGCACAAAGGAACAACACATGCGCCAACTAGTGCCAACAGAAGCTCTCCTTAATGGTAATAGGCTACGTATGGTACAGTATGTAACGACTGGGATTGCCCATTTTCGCAGAAATTTTTTGAACTGAAGAGCGCAGCTTTTCAATTTCTTGTTTTTAAACTTGCGACAGCGGGGCAAGAGGCTAAAAACTTATACGCTGTGTTTTGAGTACGTTATTTTGCTGCTGGGAATGGCAGCTAAGTCCTACGCTGACACCACCCTTGGACCCAGACAAAGCTACAACTTCGTGCAATGAAGCCATTGAGATGATAACAGGTAAAGCTTGCTATTTGAATGAAAGCTTGCAATTATTCGAAAGCTCGTAAACTGTCAAAGCCGAAACTAGTGTTTCGGTAAACAATGTGTTGCGGACAGCAATGAACACCCAAGCATTTCGGGAGACCCACCCTTATCGGTCCACACGAATGGACATAGACTCTCTTAGCAAGTTACGGAAACACGGTACTCAAGCACAGCAAGGCAGTACGATAACGCTTCTCCTTTCACGCTTGTGCTTTCACCGCTCCCAGTTCCGGTGACAGAAGACAACGAGGCGTGACAACCTAGCAGTGATGTGATCGAGGAGGGGTTGAGGCTGGCACCCCGGCTTCTACTCTGGGGAGGTGTCTTGCTTACAAAAAGAACACATGTTTAACTGGCACATTTACAAGAGTTACAAACAAGCAAGGTCTAGAGACACGCCTTTACATCACAAACACAGACAAGCATTCGTGTGCGACACAAACTGCTGTAGCTCGAATGCCAATACGAGTTTCTTGCAGGTTGGATTTAGACATCGCCCGTTAGAGAGAGAGAGAGACGAAGAACTTTTATTTTGAGCAAGTACCTTATTCCAGGTAGCTGCTGGCCTTCGTCATCTTCCATGCCCATTGAACTCGGTTTCACCGATTCTTCAGGCCCGGGTCAGATAACTTGGCCTCCCACTGCTTTTAAGTTAGTGCATTGGTTCCAGGGTTTTACCTGCATCCCCATACCATACGACATGAGGTGTCCGGGACATCTCAGTACTCACAGATGTACGAGTGATCACTTGGCGAGATGCGATGAAGTAGCGTTCGGTGAACGTAGGTGTTCGTTTGCAGCTTCCCGAGGGTTACTGCCTCTTCCCTAGCCAGGCTGAGGCGAGCTGGTGGGTAAATTTTTCTGCCTAGCCTGTAGCGATGCAGCCTTTCGTTGTACTTTTTAAGTATATCTTCTTCCTTCCCCTAGTGCTTCCTGTAGGATGACCCGGTGAACACGAGCTCAGGCGAAGGCATCAGCTGCCTCATTTGCCATCAGAGACTCGCGACCCCGAGTCCAAACGATGCACGTTTCGGGTAGGTCCTTCTTTGCTGCAGTGGCGAGAATTTCTGAGGCTTGCCTGAAATTCTTTCTGAAAATTTTGACGAGCCGCTCAGGAACCAGTATTACTGCTGCCTCAGCACACGTTGAGACTGCTAGCGCTATGGCCGTTTCTTCTACTGTATCGATCTCTGCAGTTAACATGCTAGCTGCCGTTTCTCTTTGCCAGTTCGAACAAGAGCAAAATTAAAAAAAAAACGCTTTTGTTCTGTTGGGGTGCCTTCACTAGCAAAAAACAAAAGAAGCTAGAAAGTAGGGGCGGTATAGGCAGTCATACGGTAGCGTATTTGCGTACCGGACTGCCTGCTCTAACGTAACGTACCTGTCTGGTGATGGTGAACTCGTCGTAATGTTCGTAGCCAACGGGTTTCTGGCGCGAGTCGCGGTTGTCGAAGGTGATGGAAACCGTGGCCTTGGTGATACCCGCCTGTCCGTTCTTGTACACCAGGTCTTGCAGGTTGACGGCGCGCACCTGCTGCAAGTTGCTGATGCCCAGCACGAAACATATAGAGTCTAAGATGTTGCTTTTGCCACTGCCGTTAAGTCCCGTAATGGCATTGAAGAGCGGGTCGAATCCCTTGATGTCGACCCGCTGCCCGTACGACTTGAAGCCGTCGATGGTGATGCTCTTGATGTGCATCTTCTCGTCTCAGTCTTTCGTTCGCGCGTTTCGGCGACTCGATCCGAGCACTATCATTTAAACGGCGGCCATTCACGCCAGGTTTACCGGATCTCGCATGCTCCGCGCACTTTTGAGCGGGCTGCAAAATCTGGCGCCAGAGATCGTTGGGTCTTTAGCGCGAAGTCATTGGTTGTGTGGCGCTGCAATGCAGTTATTATTTTATTGTTCAAATATTTTTGCGTAAGTGAATAAAAATAAACATTATAAAAACAACATAAAATTTTTAAACAAAAAAATTTAACAAATTTTTGCAGTTGTTACGGTCTTATAGTGCGCGCAGTTTCATACGCTCTCTGTGGCTGTCCGCAACGCGCGAAATCCACATCCAATGCGAGCCAATTAAACATGGCGTCTGACGTAGAAACGTGCGGAAACCGCTCCGCAAGCGCGTAGCACAAGTCGGCTCATCCGTGTCCTTGGCGCGGGGCTCTCCGTCGCACACCGATATCGCCCAAAGGTGAAGCGACCACGCAACCGAGCCCGGGACCGGCGCCGCCGGTCGGGCGCGGGGCCATGTTCCAGTCGAAAGTTAGTCCTAGCCCGACCCGGAGCAGCATCAAGGAGGCCAACGACCACCTGCAGCTGCTGCACGTCAAGGTGGCCGAACTCGAGCGCACCGTGCAAGAGCAGGCCGAGGCGCTCATCAAGAAGGACGAGGCGATGCAGACGCGCCTTCGCGACGTCGGCGACGCCAAGGACGCGCGCATAGCCGAGCTGGAGGCGCAGCTGACGGTCGCCGAGGAACGGATACGCAAGCAGGAGGAGTTGCTCCGTGATCGCGACATGCAGCTCGAGCTGCTGTCGCACCGCTACGCGCTCGTCGAAGAAGTGGCCGCGTACACTCCGGTCGTGGAGAAGCTGCTGGCGGCCATGCGCCGGCTGCCGGCGAAGACGGCGAGTCGCCAGGCGCCGCGGTCCCGCGCCAACTCGAGGGGAAACCTGACGGCGTCGGCTGCTCGCAAGAATTCGACTCCCGGCACGCCCAACCACGACGGCGGGAACAGCGTGCTCGTAGACGGCCACGCGCTGTCCGAACTGCGCATCGGTCGCAGTTTTAGCATCAACAGTAACTTTTCGGCGTCGGAAGACGAAGGCGACGTGGTGGGCGCGATGCTGTGACGAAGGACGGCTCAAGCGCGCTTGCCGTCGTCTGCTGCGGAGGAGGAACTTCGTTTCGCGCGTACATCGCCCTCTTCGAGGTAGTAGCGGTGAGTTCAGGTGTTAAAGGGACGCTGAAGCGAAACAGCGAATCGGTTTAGATCGATATTCGAAGTCTTAATGTCTTTGATTTCACCATCAATTATTATATTTAAATTTCGCGCCTAAATTTTGGGGTCGAAGTCATAAAACTTCGAAGAATATTTTTGCTACACAGGCTTAACGGAATTTCCCGAAACTTGTTGTGTTAAGTCTACGGCCCCCTCAGTACTTCGTTTTTACCGATTAGAAACAGCGTAGGACCTGTCAGACGCCGTCAGAATCTATGACGTCACCGCGCTTGTTGCGGGAACTTCAAGGCGGTGTCACTAGTCGCGTTTTGTTTTGCGCTCACCGAACGTCTCCTCGTGGTAAGCGTGGTTATTTTACAAGTGTGAAAGAGTAATTTACTCGTACAAAAAAAAAAATGCTCTTCTATTTAGTGTCCCTTTACGTTTCCTGAGATGGTGTTGGTTCACGTGCTCTTCTCTCTGGAAGCGCCTATTTTAGCCTAATGCGTCGCATCATTTCCGAAGCTAGGATATGCGAGCACAACTCTATGCCTTATTTATGAATGGAGGAAAAAAAATAATAGAATGTGGTAGAAGAAGTAGTGTGTTGAGAATTTCAGAAACACTTAAGTGCGGCAGAACCTGTGGCCTCCATACATGCGCAGCAAATAAATGTCTGCTGTAAATATCATAGCCTGCTTCTGAAGCAATGCTGCCTTAAAAACTTGTTAAAAATAGCTTCCTGCAAAATGTAAGTAATTTAAGGCTGTCACATGCTTGCTATTTGATTTTTCTGCGATGTAGTCGCTCCTGTTTGGTTCACTTATGCATTGAATGTAAGCAGAAATGCATGACTGCTAACACCTTGTAAAGACATCTTGACTGCTGCGAAATGCCCGCTGCCAAGAAGCAGCAGCTGTCCTGTCAGTCGCTTTTGATGAGCACGCTTCTTTCATTCTTCTTATGGGGACATAACTTAGTTCTTAGTGGACGACCGTCTTGGGATGATCATCGCGAAGGACTCCAGCATGGAACGCGACTGTAGTGTCAAGGCAAACTCGCCGTTCCGCTGAAGGCTTCGCGGAAACTTCCTAATGGTGATAACTCAATGATCTTGTCTTGTTGTACGTGCAATGCAAGCTACTGCCACTTCCGGGTTGTCTTTCTCCACACTTACAGTGTCTCCTGGCTGTGTGGTCATTCCTCCTGTACCTAATAAGAATCTCAACTTGTTCTCCTTGACCCGAGAGCGTGGCACGTGTAGTGCGTCTAGTGTGTGCTTCAAAGTTCCAACCCTTAACTTATATTGCATAACTTATAATTTTGTTTATAGCATGTACTTCACAATGTTTTGAAGATTTTTTTTCTTATGGAGATCTTACTAGTTATACCAGTATTATTGTGTCATTTCAAGCTCCACAGATGCCTGTATGCTATGTGTGTTGTACATACGATGAACTTAGGTGTAATGCTATAAATTTTGTTTTTCTAATAACCTTCTAGAGTTGAAGCAAGCCTTAGCACGAGCTTCCAAGCAGACAGATATGTAGATAATAAAAAAATGTTCCTCAACTGCTGTCGTAGCCATAAAACTAGCCTATGCTTTCCAGACTCACTACGATTGGTTATTTCACATCTGCCTTTATAGTTAAATGATTGCTGTCAATCTTTTCAAGAAATGAAAATTCTAAAGTAGCTTTAAAAAGCCCACTTTAAATGAATGTTTTATAGTTTAAAACACTGTTAGCATTGATATTGCTCTCTTGAAATTAGTACTTGCAAGTCCACCACTGTGTTCTTAAAAGCAGCTAGTACAAGCTGTTGCTGTGGTGGCAGTGTTACAGTGGAGACGGTATACATATAAAAAGTGCGTAATGTAAAGTCTTGGCAAATCATTTTTGTAGAATCTTGGGAAAGAGGCGCAAGGGAGGTTTACAAATCATTTTTGTGGAATCTTGGGAAAGAAAGGCAGGGGAGGTTTACAGAAAGGAAAAATTGTCATTTTCTCATTTGTGTCATGAAGTTGCCAGATCAATTTATGTGGATCCTACTTGCAAAAACCTTTCTTGCTGACGAAAAATTTGGACTGGTCCCAGAGTGAGTGATATGTGGGACCAACATCGTCAGCTAAGCTAACCTGAAGGAAAGCCAATTGCAGTTTAAGGGTGTAGTGAAAATGGCCCATTTATTAAGGCTAAAAAGCTTTCGATGTTTCATTAGAATGGTTCTCCAACAAAAACTGCCTTTCTGCCAGCTAGACCACCCATGTGCTTGCTGCACGTCAACTTTGTCTTTGTAGTGTTTGCTTGATTTAGCATTGTCATATGACCACAACTTGACTTGAGACGTGTCCTTGTCGTCTCTATGACGTTCGTGTGACTAGAAATTCTTAAAAAGTGACGTTTGTGTGACAGAAATCACAGCAAGATAGCCGCACTCGTTTATTTGTGCCTTCATGTTATCCAAGGTAAATGCTTAAGGGACCCCTGCGAATTTTCTGCACTCCTCACATGACTTAATTTGCATTTCAAATCCTACAGGTGCACTGTTCCAAATGATGGACACCAACCAACTCTTTGTTGACTAGAAAGGTTCTAGAAATCCATACAGATTTATGTTTCACGTACACCTTGTTTATTTTTATGGTCTTAATCTCTTCCTTGTGGTGTCTGGCAAAAAGCAGTAAAGTTTGAGGTCACCATTATTATTCACTAACACAGCTAGTTTCGCAGATATTCCGGTGTCGGCATCGTTGGTCATGAGTGAAAAATCATCTTATGCGTGACCGAAAAATAAAAAAAAAAGATGCAAATAAGAATTCTCTGCCTAAATGAGGTTCGAACCTGGGTCGTTCGCGCGGCAAGTGGGTGTTCTACCTCAGAGACGCGCATCTTCTTGGAAATGCAGTGAAAATAACTTCCTGTGCTTGCAAAAGCGGTGAAATTAACCTGCATACTTTACAAACAAACGCTTTACATCAAACGCAAATGTATACATGCTTCACAGTGCAACATGTAATATAGTAATGATGCCTGGTACAAGCGTATGTCGCGATCGGGCATCAGAACATGCGATTGCCATGAATTCATGGTTTAAAGCAGGCCACCCACTGCGAAAGGCAGACACGTTACAGCGCCTTTTTCTTTGAAGCCATTAGTGGGTGCATAGCAAGCTCGAAAAGATCTCACATGCACAATTGCCCCCGTGGTTTAAAGTATGCTAACCGTTACACAGAATGCAGCCGTATGCGAAAGCTTCACCGACACGAGCCATTTTAAACTCTACACGCACTAGGGACAGGCTCATCACGATCAGTTCACAAAAACTGAACAAAAACGCAATAAAGTGCACAACACAAGCGCTCTGCGACAACTGAAAGTTTAATGGAGCAAACGTTTCTTCCATTGAACTTCCAGCTTTTCGACAGCGTTTGAGTCATGCACTTGATTGCATTTTTGTTCAGTTTTCGTGCACTGATCGTGATGAGTATGTTCCAACTAGCCCATTTTCTACTTTACTAGAGACAGGGTATCGCTGTCGCGTTCAGCTCTTAAAGGCGAAGCTTAAGGGCGTCCCACTTTTTTTTATAGCTACCATTAGCGAAAAATAGTTGCTCAATGCATGAAAAGCAAGTACTTTGCCTGTAGCGAAGTTTCTTGAATCATTTTCAAAAGAAAGCGCAAAGGGTGAGAATGGAACGTGAACTGGCGTTCGGAAGAATGCCTTGGTGGTGAAGCATATACGCTCAACAATTCTTTTATTCGGTGCATCTTTAAACTGCTAGCTCTACTTGGCTTTCCGTACAGTTGCCAAACTTGAAGTCCATGTAATGATCTTCTTGC